AAGAGCATAAAATCAGGGTTGAGGGAAAGAAAGAATAAACAGAGAGGCTTTCCTGTGCAGTGGGAGCCGAGAACACCTCTGAGCAAGCCACGTAGTGGATGAGGACCCTGCTGCCCAGGGGAAAAGCTCACCCCCGGCCTTCAGAGGCTTCCATCCTCCCGAGTGACTATGGGTGGGTGGTGCTGGGTGCGTGGCTTAAAGGAAAGAGCTCTCCGCTTTGTCCTGTCTCGGACTTCAGCTGTGCTAACGTGGTCTGTAACGTGGGCATTCACCCTGTTAGGACACTGAGACATACCGAGTTCCAGCTATAAGATCTGCTAACGAATTTTAACAGCATTTCAGGCTTTTTTAAAACTTATTTTGTTTTTAATTAAAATACTCTATAGATAATAAGAAAGAAGGGAGCAATTTAAACTTGCACCTTAAAAGTGATTTATAAGTGTATATTAGGAAAGTTTTAACTATTCAAAAAATGGTTATTTTAAATATTAAGCACCCACCATGTACCAGCACGTGACCCAGGGGAGCTGTTTAAGCAGAGAAGGGAAGTAGTGGAAAGAAGTCAGAGTCACTGGGATGATCAGCCCGCATTTCTAGTTAATAAACTTACACAAAATCCTTACCTGGGTAGCACTTCTATCCCTTCAGGTGCAAGGTCCTCAGAACCCGAACAATTCAGCCACTGTGTTTTGCTCTGAGAACGTGAGATCCTTTCCATCTGGGACCAGAGTCATCCCCTGACCCACATGCGGCCGCCTGCCGCAAAACCGGTTATTCTGAGCAGTTCCAAGGTGCCGATATCGAATCTTAACGGCACTTAACAGAATAACCACATCAGTAGTTGTATGTGAAAGGCTACCAAAAATACTTTAACACTTGATTTTCTTTTTGTTTTTTTTCGTTTTTCTTTTTCTTTCTTTTCTTTTTTTTTATTTTTTCTTTTTTAATTTTTTGGAAGAGGGAAGAGTTAGCCAAAACGTGGGTCAAGTCTTGGCTTTCTAGAACATCTCTGTGCTTCAGTACCCTCTTCTGGAAAATGGGGAGGATTACAGTACCTACATCATGGAGTTAAATACCTGAATGCAGTTTAAGGGCTTCAAACAGTAGTGAATTATAATTGATATTGTTGTTCGTATATTTATTTACTTTATATGACAAATAAATATGATATTTATTTTATACGACAATTTTTTTTTCTCTTCCTTAGACAGATTTAGTTCATTTGCATAGAATCTTAGAGCTGAAAGAAACCACAGATATAACCTTGTACATCGTTTTTTCAGATGAGGACATTCGTGAGTCTCCCGAGCCACACAGGTCTCAGGAGCAGCGTGGCCGTGACTAGAGCGCCCCCATCCCACCTCACTCCAGCCGGACCTCCCCCCACCCCCTTACCACGGCACTTCTGGTGACACCTTCCCAGCATGCTCCCCATGGGAAGCAGGGAAAATGCCACACCTGCAGGCGCAAAGCACCGTTAACCATCAACTCACTCCCTTTCCCACCAAAAAAAAAAAAAAAGAGAGACCAGAGGGCACGGGGAAGGGCACATGGCTCACTGAGGCCGACACCTGGCCTCTGTGGAATGTCTGAAGTGACTCCGATCCATGCCCACATTAAAAGGACGAATTTACCACATAGTGCTAACATTGATTCTCTAAGAAGTTAGGTTCTGGGCTATCTGGATTCGTTGTTCTATTTTCATTCATGGTCTTAAAATGTGGATTTTACAGTTTTAGGAGATTTCCTTGAGGTTTTGAATTCTTGAGAGTCAGACTTGCTGCAAGGACCCGAGTGCCTAGGCTTTGCTGCTGTCACACAGTTCATTTCTTTACATACTGAGACCAAAATAGAACAGAAGTTAAAGCTTCTAGAACAAAGTGAAGCACATGCTTATAATTTCATAATAGCTGTTTTCGGGTTTGGGTTTTCGGCTCCAGCCACCTGACCAAGGCGCTGCCCTCCCAGACTGGTCTCCGTTGGGGGTTCAGGGGCTCCTCGGGGGCGAGGCTGCCGTCGACATTCCCCAGGAGCCTCTCCTTTCTTTATTTTCACTTTGCTTGATTAACCTTTATGTGTTGATCCGTCTGTGCCCAGCTCCCCAATTATAACCTTTTTTTTCTCATTAGCCAGTACATTTTTTGAATTTCAGTGTAATTCAGACTTGCAGACAGCTTGTTTATCTTAATTAACAAGTACTGGCAGTGATAAATGACAGACAGCCAAAATCAAGGGAAGCAATATGACTGCATCCAGTTAGCATAGCGCTCACTTACTGTTGCATATTAGGATTTAACCACGTTCCTCTGCCTAGAGAACGTATGCAGAAAGATTTGTTCTCCAAAATGAAGGTCGCCGTACTGTTTCTTCTGTAGAAATACACCGGCATCTTAGCTTTACTGCTAAGAAATCAATCTTTTTTTTCCCCTCTCCAGCCACAAGCATGATACAGTTTGTGGCCTGTTTTCTCAAATTTCTGTGGCATAAAGGATAAAGGCATACTTTGTTTCAGTGCTGGTGGTGGTGGTTGTGGTGGTGGTGGTGGAGAAATAGTGTGAAAATAAGCAAAAGCGAAGAGGTTGCATTTAGAAATTGACTTCTCAGGAGAGAACTCTCATGGTTCCAAAACACAGTGCATGCGGAACGGAACCTGTGAGTTAAATTTGTGAACCGTGTGCCAGCAGGAAGTCTGGAGCGGATGTTATTAAAAAGTAAAGTCACTTTTCCAGACAAGATTTATTTATATCAAAATGAATATTGAAAAACAGATTTACAACCTAAAATTCAAACTAAATGGTACCTGAAGAGCTCTAGTTAGGTCTCTAAGCACTGTAGAAGCTTTTCATTTCCCGTACCTTTTGTCCGTAGCCTTCAGGGTCTGAACTCCCTCCCGTCCGTTGTCTTCAGATGAACCCAGTGAGGGATGATGGTGAGACACCACGTACATGAGGCTCATTTCACAGCTTCTGAATATTGGTGATAAAGCTCCAACAAGTTCACTTGCAAATACCAAATAAAGAGCATGGAAATCTGAGACGTGAAAAACTGCTGATGGTCCTAGAAGATAAATACCAGGTTCTCCATCTCATTTTTTGAGCTGAGGGGAAATTAAGAAAGGAGAGGCGGGGAAGGGAGGGAGTTGTTGTTGCAACAGGATTTGTCGAAACCTGAAAGCTGAAAATGTTTTTCTGTCACTGTATACAGAGGAGGAATTATTTGGGTGCTCACAAAAAAAGAATTTCTTTTCTTTTAATATTATGTTTTAGTCCACAGTTATAATTTGTTTTTGAATTTCTGTGTTGGAAGAGACAGTTTATTATTTGATGTCCCCAGTTATATGAAAGAATATGGTCTGAAATATTTTTAACTAGATTGTGCTTTGCAAATGATAGTGGAAACTGTCTTTTTAGTCTGGTGCTTGTGACTTGTCTGAAGTCAGGAGTCACAAAATTGGTAACTTTCAAAACGTTCAAAAGGCAGTTTTTAAAATACGTATTTTTTTTTAGATAAAAGGAAAGAAACTCCAGCAATAACTGTTGAGTAGGCTCTCGATCGGGAAACCTATGAGTATTTGGGGGAGTGTTCTGAATTTCTCCTGTTATTCCTTCTACTGAGAAAGATTTCTGGAGTGTAACCTACTATTAGCGCTTTTAGAAACTGTTATAAAGAAGTTACATCAAAACTGCGTGATGAAGCATAGTAGACGGAACAGTGAAATCAGGTATCGAGGTTCTAGATCATGAATCATGGTACAGACACTTCACCTCCATCTGTTCGGGGTTCTCATTTTTTTCTTCCTCAGTAATTTCAGTTCTACAGGCTATAAATTTATAGGCGCTATAGAGAAAGGAAGATAATTTTAGGATTGGATTTAAGATTTTTTAAAACTGCTGATAGCCATGTTAGATGTTAGCCATTTCTTTAAAAGCAGTGATAATAAAATGCATGTTTCAATTGTCTGGATTTTTACAGTTTTTTTGGGGGGGTGGGGACCTTTAAGTCTGGCATTAGGCAAGATATCGTTAGAAATCTAATGCCTGTGGATTTGGTTTTTAGCCATAGTATTGTACTTTTGGTACATAAACTTTCTTTATTTCATGGAAATACACAAACAGTTCTTTGTGTAAATACTGGACGAGGTAGAGTGGGCTTCCAGGCGCTAACAGGAACAGCACTGTCAACACCGCTGAATCAGAAGAAACCCCCATGTCCCTGTAGTGTCTCGGCTTGTTCTGCCCTTGCTGTGGTTGCCAGTGCTCACCCACCTGTGCTGAGACTGACCGATGGCAGGTGGGGGCCCAGCCTGCTCTCAGCTCTGACCCCCAACATAACGCAGCGCGCCGAGGACAGACGGGTGAAGCGTGCTTTAATGAAGATTTTGAAAACACTTTTGATGATTCTTCTGCTTTGATGAGAATACTTATCCTGTAAAATATTAACTGACTATTTTAAAAAGGTAAACTTACGAAATGCAAATAACGTTCGCTAACGGCAGACCTTTAATCAAGGCAGAGTTTCTTATATAAAAAAGGAGCTGGAAAGTAGGGATGTATGGAGAAATATAGTTTATCGACATTATTATGTATTTCCCATGTGGACATTAAACAGAATCAAATCTTTTAAGTCTAGAGACTTCCCAAGATAAATCTTCATTTATTTTTACCTCAGTTTATGTCTATTCCATGGCCCTATTCCGCGTTGTATACCCTAGTGCTGGCGTGACGTTACTGCCGGTGGGACGTTACTGATGACGTCTCAGACCTGTCA